ACTTTTGCTTTCAATTTTACCATGGACATAGCGCCATTATAAGTTCACAGAGTGATGCATGCTATTAGAGTTCACCCATACTACAGTATAAAAATAAATAAATAATAATAAAAATAATATGAAGTAATAAAATAAATCATTGATAATATTGATTATAATAAAACAAGAAACTTTTTTATTTACCTATCGTGTCGTCATCTTGTCCGTACGCCAGCTTCGGCCATGTTTGTTTTTGCATTGCTAAATTGAGCATTTTTCAAATTAATATACATGAGTAGATTAAATATTTAATGGGGTGTCTCAAGTACCTGCACGACACGTTTTAACTTTTAAGGCCCATTGGCCTCGTACATTTTCGGGGGATTCTTTTTACTGGATGTACATTGTATATTTCACAACTTGTTCTAGAAACAATGACTTTTTAGCTTGAATTATGTAAGGAATGTTTCTTGCAAAATTTAGAACTAGTGTAACCACCGTCTTCTAATTTAGTAGGTGGGTAGGTGGAATAATGTACATGTACCTTTTGTAGTATTTATATATTTTTCGGAAAAGAAACACGCCTCTCTCTCTCTGTGTGTGAGAAATTGTAATCACTGTCGATGTCATATTATCAATACGTAAGCCTTCAAGAGAGGGGATAAAATTTAACAAATGTTAACATTTTGTGAAACTCGAAAGGAAAAATGATCATAATTAAAATGCGCTAATTAACCCCTCTGATCTAGACCTTAAGATGAAAAAAAGATTAGTACATTAAAACATGTTAACAGTTTATTTTTGGTATTCATTCCTTTTTTTCTGTAAAGCTAGACGTTCTTATTGACTGAAAAATTACAAGCTAGGTTTACTATAGTTCAATCATTTCTGGTTATTTCATAGAACCCTTTCATCATTTTTTTAATCTACCTGGAAACGAAGGGTAAAGAAAAGTAACTCGAATGTTCCAACGATTGTAGTTAGAGCAATTAAACGGCTTCATTCGTAAAATTAACAATTCGTGGTCTTGCTAAAACATTCAGCTCTGTTAAATATTAAACGAATAGCATTTCAAGTTTTTTTTTTTATATCTTTATGTTATAAAGGTAAGAAAACTAAAATATTCATTTATATACAATTAAAACTTACTCGAATTAAAATTATTGCAATATTAAGGAACAATATTCAATATTGTGAAAAATTCACAACAAATAGCTCAACAAAAAGGATCATCAAACAGGAGAGAGAGGACAGGCTCTAATTTTTTTTAAATTCGTTTTTGAAAGAAAAAAATTAATAGAGTTTCATATTTAAACATCGTGTTTAAGTTTTTTGTTTGGTAAGAGGAAAGAATAAAAAAAAACTTTTGTTATTTTTTTGTTCCAATTTGAATACAAATATTTTTGCAATGTTGAGAAATTTGACTTTGACACTGTAGCCGGGGGATACAGAAATGAAAGGCGTGATCAAATCATCACTGACATGCATGTAGACAAGTACAGGAGATTAAACGATTAACAAGATACAAATTACATATTATCCTTTTAAACAACTCATTATCTGCTGATCGGTCAATATTTGTTTAACAATTTAAATTTCTTTTTTGTATAAAATATCCTATAGATATCTTGATTTTTGATTTTTTTAAAATTATTTTTGTAAACAAAAAAGCATTAAGGAAAAAGCGTAGAATGAGTTGAATTTTAGGTGGAAATGTTGACAACTGCAGAAATAATATTCAAAATAATATGTTATAAAATAAATATTTAATTCTTAAACCAACAACCTAAATATCGTGGATGTGGTTATGTTGTCGTGTTTACTGAAGTATTTTATTATTCTGTAAGAACAGTGAACCCATCCCAAACACTCGGATATAACATTATACAATATATACACAAACTCTTTCATTTATTAAAAAAAATACAATGTAATCCAAAATTGAAATAACTAATTTTGAAAAATGTAACAATTACCTTTTTTAAAAATAATTGTTTTATTGAAATTGTAGGCTAATGTAATTAATTGTTTTAGTTTTTTATGAACTGAAATCTGATTGGACAGTAGGCGTGTTGCCTACTTAAGCCATATAATTGATTGCTTACTGCTTAGATATAACAGTAAAATTGTTCGATACAGATTATATGAAATTCGATAAACATATATATTGTAGATGATTATTTCGAAACAATACACTTTATATTGACTAAGGTCTAATGTAAGTGAAACCGAGTCGTTAAATCATTCCACTAAGTTGCAAAAAGTCTTTTGTATGTTCACATAGGAAAATTCCTTTTAACTCTAATGGAATCTATCCTGGAATTTATCACGTTCAAGAATTATCCCAGAACATTAAGGCACTTATAGTTTTCGAAATGTCACTGAAGAATTCTTTTTGCGATCTCTTAGAAAAATATTTTTATGGAGAATTACGCGTTTAATTTTGTTGACACAGGAATGGTTTTATCTTTATTTAATTCCATAATGAAGTTCTGCATGGGGTTATTAAGCAGCGGTTTGGAAAAATCTTCATTGAAAGACTTTAAGAATAGCCGCAGGAACTAGAAAAACAAGAAACTCATGATAAAGGCTATGCAAAAACATGTCTTCGTCTATCTAAAATTGCTCTTTCTTTCCCGATTATATTGTTGCTACAAATCTCTGTCTAATTTTTATGGAAAACAGCCTTTCTGTATGCTGGTCTATCAATATTTTCACCATAGAAAAACGATCGTTTACGATTCACCAATATTTGACTAGAGAAGTCAGTTTAAGTTAAAATCAGGTATTCTATCGCAAAACACTTTTGTATGCATATATATATTTAAACGTACATTTTGTGCCGTTAATTTTTGGTACTATTCAGCATCAATACGCATAACTACAAGGGGACAATATCATTTATCATTATTCTTTAGGAAACTTGTTTAAAATGGGGGGAAATGGATGCATGGATTGGTATATATTTTTGATTTATTTTGGTTGTAAATGAAGCAAATATGAAATTCCTAAAATATTAATGAATTGTAAATTTTCTATAATGATCAAATTTATCATTTTTTGCTATTCCCCTTATAAATTTATTACTTTATAGGAAACAACTGAGAAATCTTAAATAAGAATTAAACTTTATGTGGTTTAACTTATTTATTTTATAAATATATACATAGACCTAGTATCAATTTTCACTATTTTCGGGGGGAAAAAATTATTTGTAGCAAGTGGCCTTTATCAAACGTTTAACAGTAATTATCAACCGAAAGTTCAGAAATACATCTCTAATAAATGTAGAATATAAGCTCATGATTCTACATATTTTGCTGTACACGATATTCTGAAACAGTATGTAGATTTCTGGTTTCCATGCGAACAATTCAAATATATCTTTAGACTACGAATCAGAAATAGGAGGGAAGGTAGAAAATCTTTAAGGACATACGCAACGTACTTTACCTAATGATAATTTTTCAAGGTATTCTTAATTTAAGATTAAAGTGCCATCAGATGTTCATAAACAAAAAAGCAGCTTGCATTACCAGGGGTTTTGAAAAGATATCAGCTGATGAAAATTCTTGTAAAATTCAAAGAAAAATATACAAAAATTACTATACATATATTCTAGTTGTTTTGTTCATCCAAATTTGTTTTAAAAGAATTGTACAACAGCATATAAAGACATTAAAATGTAGCACACAGTTCCTTTAAGTATTGGAACTCTTCAACTCCAGGGAAAAAGACAATAAAGTTCAAACTACGTTGCGTATGTCCTTAAGTCCAAAAGTTGTAAAAAGATTTTATTCAATCGTTGTTGTTTTCGTTTAAATCATATTGATATTGCTCAATATCAACATAGATGAGCAGTCAGTTGTATTGGAGACTTTTACAGGTTAATGATTGCGATTAAGGAACCATTTACAAACTCATTTATAAGTTCATTTATGTTGCGTTTTTTTTAATGTGTTGTAAGTGAAACGATTTTCAAACCTGTATAAGACGCAACTTGTTACCTGTTGGCACCTGCTTGGTGTCATTTCAAACTCTCAAGACAAGCAAATACTTCGATAGTTCACCGTATTTGGTCAACAAATATTTGTGTCAACACTGCTCAAACATCGCCTGTTCGGTATGTTACAGGTTAAATATTTTCTTTTGATGAAGGTGAAAAAATGTTGACCTTATAACTTCCAACAATCCTAGGCATTTATTACCGGAAAGATTTCTAATGAATGCATTTATTAATTATCAATGTATCAAAACGGTATATTGCTAAAATCAACATCTATAGTCGTAAATTGCAAAGAAACAGCATTCACTTTCAATGAATCTCTTTCATTCAAATACCGTATAGGTATATTTGAGTTTAGTGAAATTACTCCAAAGCAATCAGCTACAGTGCAAGAAAGACAACATGCATACTACCCAAATTTTTAAAACGTGCAAACCCGCAACATTTAATCAAATATTTCCGGCCTCATTCTAATTTTCATTTGGCAATAGCATGAAAAATACAACCAAGAAATGCCACTAAAGGAAATAATATCCTTTTGAAATAAATAAATGAATAAAAAAATATTTTTAAAAAATATAATAAAATAAATAAATAAATAAATAAATAAATAAATAAATAAATAAATAAATAAATAAATAAATAAAAAATAAAATCAAAAACAAGACTTTGTTTTTGTTAAATCAATTTATTTATTGCACTATTTAGTGAGATTCCTCATCTCCAAAAAAAAAAAAAAAAAAAAGATCTTTTCACACACATTCATACAATTATCCAAATGGTTATTTATACATAAATTGCGTATTTGTGCACATTAATCTAATCAATCTACTTTTCATATTTACAAATATTATATACAAATATATTAATTAAATTGTTCACCATAGCACTAAAACAAGTACAAAAAGTCAAATTACATTAATAAACAAAAATATCTGAATCTTTGGAGACAACGTATTCCAATGGTTTGAGTATAAAACGATATCACATTGTATCACACAATTTCTGTGTGTTATCACTGGGCTGTTTGTAGTCTTTGGAGACCTGCGTACTGAGACCCACAATAGGTAGATGGCGGGGGTAGGGAAGAGTACCCAGGGAGGGAACCGGTGGAGGATGGGACGGGAGGAACTTGAGATCCGGGTAAATAAGATCCACTGAGGGACGAACCGAGAGACGATCCGAGAGTAGAGTTCATATTCATCCCGGGCGTGTTGTAATACGGAGAGTAACCACCGTGAGATGATGTGTTCCAAGATTCCGGTTTTGACGGTAACCCGTACTGCTGGGGTTGGGGTAGTCCCTGAGAAAACGCAGAAAGCGCCATAGAGTTAAATGAGGGATAAGGCTTGTATCCGGAGGGGGATCCGTACAAACTGAAATGTCCGTATGAATTCACATGCTGAACATGGGCTGGGTCCTCTCGCTTTGCCCGCTGAAGCTTGAACCTCTTCGCTCTTCTCAGAAAGCTTCCATTGCCGAACATATCCCCACAACCGGGGTGTAGAGCCCAGTAATTTCCTTTGCCTGGTCGTCCGGGAGCTCTGGGTATTTTCACGAAACAGTCATTTAGCGAAAGGTTGTGTCGAATAGAATTCTGCCATCTTTGTTGGTTGTCTTTGAAATACGGAAAACGATTCATGATAAAGGAATAAACTTCATTTAATGTCATCATTCCTGACGACGAACTTTCAATGGCCATCGTGATGAGTGCGATATAGGAATACGGCGGCTTGACGTCCGCAAATCTTCTCTTCTGCTGGGAAAGTGTGGTCGTCCCGGAGAATTTCATGTCATAATTGTCTATGTCCGACTCCGGTGAGTTAACGTTATCCGGGATTTCCGAATCGCTGTGATCCGACTTTAGATTCCTGTTAGTTTGATCTTCCTCGGTGATGCCGTGGGGAGGAATATTTCCGTACATGTTGACGGGAGTCTGCATCATGTGCGAGTTTGATGCCATCATACAGGAAGACTTGTCCTCCATGTCATGTCCACTTAAAACTCCGGCGTTGCTCTCTAACATGGTTGTGTTTCAATTAAAATTAATATTATCTCTTCTTTGAACAATATTTTACTTGTGATATGAGAATTCGAAAAGTCAATGTTTTCTCTGGAAAGGTTAGAGTAAACCTACGATGAGTCTTTTTTTCGCTTCAGTTTTTACCATTCTGTGATGTAAAGAATTCGCCACCAAGCTTTCTGATTGGTCAGTTGCAATCCAGAAGCATGTTTTTATAGGCTAATTGACTTTAACTACTTCTTTGTAAAGAGATTAACGGTCAGTGAAAGTTGAATATGGAATCGCCCCTGGATACGAAGTGTACAGGAAAACCAACCTACTGTGAAATCACTAATTTGTTTTTGAATGAAGACCAAAATTAGCTCCTCCTACAAGTTAGGACTGTGTTTGCATAATGATTAAAGAAACAACTTTGGGGAGAAATTGCTGAGAAAATATACGACAAGAAATCAAAATGTTTGCAAACAACAGATTCAATGTTTAGTGTTTTTATTTCAATATATGTTTAAGAACGGTGATTTAGACCAATATGTTTTTGAAGATAGTTTTGATAAGCGTGATTATTTAGATATGAGTATTTGTAACTTTTTATAAGCTTTTATAGTTACAGTAATCATCGCAGGAAAATTAAGTAAATGTTATGAAAATTCGGCAAAGTATTGTCCTGGTCAAACTCAAACAATTTTCGCGTGTGTCAGGGCCATGTAACATAGACACAACATTTTTTGTGCGATTTTTGCAGAGAAAGATCATTTTATATTCATGTAAATAATACTGCAACGGTCGGGAGGGGGGGGGGGGGGTAAGTTGCAATAACTGAAAGCAGTGGTATTTATTGTTTTAATTCTATGATTACTGCAAACGATATAAAACTTTTTTAAACATTTTTTTTTTGAGGGGGGATCTTTTTTTGACGCTAAACGTATATTAAAAGGGAGAAACTAAGTTGAAAGGTGACTCTTTTTTTTCATTTCAATGAATGAAAAACATAGGAATTAAACTTTTTTTTAAAAAATATTGACTTTAATAGTATATATGAAATCTTGCAATATACATGTGCACTTGATCTGAATGGGTTACATTGATGTTTATAACAGAATAAATTGTAATAAAAATTGTCCGTGCATATGTATGAAAAAAAAAAATTCCCTAAATATTGATTAATTTAGAGAAATTTGCCGGGATACGAGAATTGTAAAATGACCATTTAAAGGATTATTATGTAGATTTTTTCTTTTATTTCCGTTGCTCAGAAATCTGTAAGAATTCAAATCATTTCTAATAATTGAAATTATTTATATAATACATTTGTTTTCTTAAATCTTTAATTAGCTGTTTATCTTAGTAATTTGGATCTTATAATCAATTCCTTAAGTAACAATGAAGATTATCTAACCTTTGATAGAATTAATCAAAAAATAACCTTCTTAAAGTCTGAATAAATATTTTGAAACTTCTTCAGTCTACTTTTACACGTGGAATCCGTTCGCTTTTTCAGGGAGTCATCTTTATTCAAAGCGTAAGTGAATCTCGACGTAACAGGATTATCCGGAGAAAGGGCAGACTAAATGGGAATATAGGGGGGATTAGGACGGTGCTACTTGTTTGTATAAATGATTACTGAAGTTAATTTTCTTAACTTAATCAATCAAGAGAACAGTAAAATTCTCTCTTTCTCTCTCCCACCCTCTCTCTCTCCGCCGACTGCAAGTAACCGTTAGATTCAGTGTCCTTTTCAAGCAAATAATTCAACACTAAAAACTAATAATCTAATTATTTATATTACAATTTATAAATGGTTTACAGAGTCCTATTGATATTCTTTTACTATACACTGTATTTTATTCTATAAATTAAAGAAAAGATTTAAAGTATTTTTTTACGACACATAAACTCTAGTTATGTGTGAGAAAACGTACTTGAAACAATGCAGGTACAAATTAAATCGTTATTGTCGTACCATTGATTTTTATTTGAAACTGAAAGTGTTTTAGTAATGTCATTGCTTTGATTTTTAAATAAAATTTAATAATCAAAACTATTGAACTAAAAAGAAATTATACGATGTGGAAAAATCACCTGAAATAGGCATGTCAGGTCTAAACAAGATGTCAAGGAGCCCGTCATTCAAGGCAATGATGACATCTAACGATGATAATGGAAACTTACACGATACCTATTGTTATCTACACCGGGTCATTTCGAGACATTGACAACTTTCCATGGAATTCAATTATCTGTTTTGCGATTTTCCCGAGTGTTACTTGCAATCTGTTGGCCCCAGGGCTCACCTTAAAAAAAGTCAACTAGATGTGAAATTTGACAGGCACCCACAAGGAAACAAATCCTTCTAATCAATACTAACATATTCAAGGATTAGATTTCTGTGAAAAACATTGTCTGTATAAAATTATTACATATTTCAAATGTTGATGTGTTGTTGCAAACTGGCTACATAAATTATTTAATAAATGTATGTGCATAAGAATATTTGAAACATATATTATCTATTATTTCATATATAACACGTATGAATTATTTTAAATTTTTTCCCCTAGATTTTCTAATTTTTTTTGTCTATAGCTTAAATACATTTATATTATATATACATTATTGGATTATAAAATAATAACTGTGAATCCATTAAACATTTCATTGGATAAGCAAATATCAAAGGTTCCGACAGTATTTGCCGCTCATTAATTCCTTAAGAGCAATTAATCCAATTAAGCACCGATTAACGGAGTCAAACTCGAAAAGAATTATTCACCTAAGAATGCATATATAATTTCTTACGAAATTGAATAGACATTCTTTCAAATAAAAAATAAATATCGTAAGTATTAAATAAGTAAATAACTTACAACACAACTAATTTGTTTTATGTATGTCGGCATACTTTTATAAAATATAATCGTGGATATCCCCAAAGCTAAATAAATAAAAGTAGAAAAAATATTAAATATAAATAATTCATAAAAATGGCTGATTTACTGATTAATTAAAATTGACAAAATATGGAGAATATTAGTTTTACAAAATACTGTCCTCTCTGACGTATTTATTTGAATAGAATAATCTCTGAATTGGTCGTATTGTTGCGTTTCTTTTTCGATAAAAAAAAAAAATGTATGACAGGTAGAAAGACAATAGGAATACTTAACTTTTGATAAATCATGAAAAAAAAATTAAGGAAAGATTACTTGAAGTAAAGTGGTTTGTTTCAAAATCTTATTTTGTATATTTTTTATCGACAAGTTCATGTTTCTTACACAAAATGGTTTAAATGGAAACGAAAACAAATTACATTGCTTGTGATTTTCTTACACGGTAACATTAAAACCCAATCAAATTTAAAATTTGAAAACAACAAAAGTCATTATTCATTGTCTATACTTTGAAAAAAATATCCGTTGTTTGGTTAAGAAATTTTACATTTATTCATCGTTCAGAACAAAAAATCTGTCGATAAATTTATATAAAAATCGATTCAATGTTTAATTAATTAAAACCTGGTCATTTTATCTACGTGTATGGACGGAAAGAAGTTAACATTTTGTAATTATCATTCGTTTTTCTTTATTCATTATTGGTGGTTTTGAAATTAATGTATGAATTACATCTAACCTTGAATGTCTTGAAGAAGATTTTTCCTCTTTTTTTTCAGTTTTCCTCAGAGAGAGAGAGAGAGAGAGAGAGAGAGAGAGAGAGAGAGAGAATAACTTATTAAGAATCAGGGGCAGATTAACAGATGTTTTATCCCCTTATTATTTTGACCAGAATCAAACACAGGACTGCCGTTTTGTTTGTCCATTCCTTAGATATTTTAGTGTATTGTGCCCAGGTGTTCAATATCTATCATCAGTGACCTCCTCCACAACTAAAACTGGTTCATAATTAACCACGGACATAATGAGAGAGCCGTGCTCCATATTGCAGCATCAGGAAGCAATCCAAAAGGTCAACAAATGCTTTGGGCTTTTTGTTTGATTTTCAAATTTGCATTAACGGTGAAGTACTCTGACCAAACTACTTCTGGTCAAGATTTTAAAACGTTGCAATTATAGGAGTTTTGCTAGCCTCTGTGTATCAGTGTTAAAATATTTTGACCATTAATCATAAATAGGTTGGTTTAACAAGCAATTTCTTGCCATTTTGGAATAAATTCTTAGAAAAACAATGATTTGGGTTTATTGGTAACCATTTCTAGCAATACTGAAGAAGATAACTTGTAAATGTTCTCGCTCCGACACACAATTGGTCAATTAAATATTAAGTAACAGGGCTTCTTTGGATAGCCCAGGTGTTCTCAGGAATTTCAAGTTCTCGACAAACTGAAATCAATCGCTGTATAATCCTTTTTCAAGGCCGGAAATACAGTGGCCATTCTCAGGAAATAGGTATATCCGATATCTCAAAGTACACCCCCCTAAAATAACAATTTAAAATAGCCAAATAATATTTTGAAAGTTTTAACAATAGATTAGAAAAACTTACCCGATTTAGCATGTTTGTTTGTTTGAATTTTGGACTAGAAACAATCGGTAAAGCAAGACTGGCGTACTCCGCTTACTTTATTACTGTTTAACAGAGTCGTTAGTATACATCTTATTCATATTTCTCATCGGCGGCCATACATTTTTATTGGACTGAAATAATCTCTATACTTTTGACCAATATTTCGAATTCAACATTGGAATCGTACAATATGCATAAATCTCTCTCTCTCTCTCTCTCTCTCTCTCTCTCTCTTCAATGTATGTTACAGCAGATGTTCATTTTTTGTTGTTGAAGAATTGAAGTTAATAAGTCAATATAGCCTGCGTCACTTTTGCAAACTTACCCAAATTGGATTCCAAATGATATATTTCGCCGGAGAGTACATTGTAAAATAAAAGCAGAACTTTCCGTGTTTTATTCAATTTTAAACGTGAATATTTGAGTGCATGATTTATACCAAACAATATTGTATGGAAGAACGGGTATCTGTTAAAAAAAGGGAA